CTGGCCTTAAAAAGCTGACGAATCAGCTGAACATTTTCCCAAAACGCATGCAGGAGTTTTCAAAAGGACCAGAGGATGCGCATTCGGGAAACGCGGCCCAGACTGCGGGACCGCGCACCAACGTGCACCCCCTTCCATTTCCCAGAGGCTTCCCGAGTCCCCTGGAGGGCACTGTTAGCAACTTCAGTGCCCTTTGGGAAGCCTGGGGTGGTTTCGGAAGGGGCCTGGCCAGAGGCGGGGCCTGGCCACCCACCTGCCACTCACCTGAGGACTGCCCGTCTTCTAGATCTGCAGGCAGCTCCTTGGACTGGCATTCAGTTTCACTGCGGGAAAGGACAGCCGGGGCCTTGAAAGGTACTGATTTGTTCTGATTTTTTAATATATGTTTTTTTTTTTTTTTTTTTTTTTTTTTTTTTTTTTTTTAAGGAAAGAACACAAAATTGTCGGTATTTAAAGAACGACAGACACGTAACGCACACAGCAGACTCCGGCTCGTCACAGTCAGGGACAGCGCTGTCGGCAGCCGTGACGGGGAGGCACGCGTGCCGCCCCTGGCAGCCACGGAACACGGGCAGGGCGGTGGTGCGTTTCCTTCTGCTTAATTTTTGCTCATTGGAACGCAGGGCCACACGGAAGCCACAGCCACAAAAAGCTCACGCAAGATGTGCACCACGGAAACACTGGGCGTGGTTTCAGAACATCGTGCACCAAACTGAACCCATCTTTTCCTCCCATTTTTTCATGAATTCTGCAACGCCTCATGTAATTACACAGACAAAATAAGGAACATAACGTACCTCCCTCCTACTTGTCTCTCTCTTTTGAAAGATTTATTTGTTTATTTGAAAGGCAGAGTTAGAGAGAGAGAAGGAGAGACTGAGAGATTTTGCTTCCATCTGCTGGTTCACTCCCCAAATGGCCACAACAGCCTGGGCTGGGCCAGGAGCTTCCTCCGGGTCTCCCACGCGGGTGCAGGGGCCCAAGGACTTGGGCATCTTCTACTGCTTCCCCAGGCCCATTAGCAGAGAGCTGGACAGGAAGTGGAGCAGCCAGGACTGGAACTGGTGCCCATGGGGGATGCTGGCTTCATAGGCAGAGGCTTAACCTGCTACATCACAACGCCAGCCCCCTACTTTTCTCTTATGAAAACAGAGAAAGCGACACCATTTTTTTTTTTTTTTTTTTTTTTTGGCAGGCAGAGTTAGACAGCGAGAGAGAGAGACAGAGATAAAGGTCTTCCTTTTTCTGTTGGTTCACCCCCAAAGAGGCTGCTACAGCCGGCATGTTGCGGTCAGCACGCTGCGCTGATCCGAAGCCAGGAGCCAGGTGCTTCTCTTGGTCTCCCATGCGGGTGCAGGGCCCAAGCACCTGGGCCATCCTCCGCTGCACTCCCTGGCCACAGCAGAGAGCTGGCCTGGAAGAGGGGCAACCGGGACAGAATCCGGCGCCCCGACCGGGACTAGAACCCGGTGTGCCAGTGCCGCAAGGCGGAGGATTAGCCTAGTGAGCCGCGGCGCCGGCCAATACCATTTTTAACAGGCATAATTCTGCTACTTGGCCTCATGACAATTTATTTGGCCAAGTCTTTGATCGCCAGCTCTGGCCGTATTATCAATAAGCTCAACACCACTGCCAGGCTTTGCTACCATGAAGGTGAAAAATCTTTTTGAACTGAAGTTTATTCCTTAGTTCTCGGGCTGAACGGCTTCTCACAGGTGCACAGCCGCCTGCAGAGCTTGCGTCTAGATTTCTAGCGTGCAGATCTGGCTGGGTTTGCTAAGGGAGTGTTCATCCATTCCTTAAAATGTATGTATTTATTTTACTTGAAAGTCAAAGAAACACACACACCAAGAGCGAGAGCGAGAGCGAGAGAGCGAGAATCACACATTTGCCGGTTCACTCCCTAGACGCCCACAGCAGCCTGGAGCAGGGCCAGGCCAAAACCAGGAGCCTGGCACTCAGCCTGGTCTCCCACACGGGGGCCAGGGAGCCAGGTCTCGGTCGTTAGCTGCTGCTTCTCCGAGCACACGTCAGGAGGGGCTGGTGCTGTGGCGTAGGGGGTAAAGCCGCCGCCTGAGAGCCCGCCTCCCACGTGGGCAACAGTTCGAGTCCCGGCTGCTCCACTTCCCATCCAGCTCTCTGCTGTGGCCTGGGAAAGCAGTGGAGAATGACCCAAGTGCTTGGGCCCTGCACCTGCATGGGAGACCCAGAAGAAGCTGCCGGCTCCTGGCTTTGGCCTGGCCCCACTCCAGCTGTTGCAGGCAGCCAGCAGCTGCCTGTCTGTCTCTCTGCCTTTCAAGTAACGATAAAAACAGGAAGACGGGTGGCACTCCCAGTGCTGAAGGCACCTCACTTCTAACGTGTGGACAGGGGCTAGCACGCGACTTTCATGTTCTCTCCGGGGGCAGTGGGGACGGCGCAGACTCACAAGGTGAACTCTTCTTCCCACGTGAGGTCAGTGGTGCATCTCGCGAGGCCGCTGGAGAACCTCTGCAGGGGGTCGTTCAGCTGCGCGGTGCACACAGGCTGAGCGGAGCCTACAGCGGGGCAGAGGGACACGCATCAGCCTCACACGTGGCCGCATTCACACACGGCCTGCGCGCCACCCACAGCTGCATGACATGGCCCGCCTGACCTCTGAGGCTCTTTCCTTCGCTTGCCGTCTACAAACTCTCAAAGCGCTGGCCTGCACTGCGGTTTACAGAATTTCTTCCTGGGGCCGGAGCTGTGGCGTAGCAGGTAAAGCCACCGCCTGCAGTGCCGGCATCCCACATGGGCGCCGGTTCGAGTCCCGGCTGCTCCACTTCCCATCCAGCTCTCTGCTGTGGCCTGGGAAAGCAGTGGAAGATGCCCAAGTGCTTGGGTCCCTGCACCCACGTGGGAGACCCGGAAGAAGCTCCTGGCTCCTGGCTTCAGACTGGTGTGGCTCCGGCTGTTGTGGCCATTTGGGGAGTGAACCAGCGGATGGAAGACCTCTCTCTCTCTCTCTCTCTCTCTCTCTCTCTCTCTCTGTAGCTCTGCCTCTCAAATAAATTAATTAAAACAATTTCTTCCTGTCCTCAATGTCAACAGCCTTGAACTGACCCCAACGGCCCTGCCTGCAGGCAGGGCTCCCGGCGGGGTGGGAGAGGGGTGGACCTTCCTCAGAGCTGGGCCCAGTTTTATTTGTTTGAGGCGGAGCGAGGGGAGAGGGAGAACTGGTTCATACCCAAATGCCTGCAAGGCCTGAGGCCGCCCTGGGTGGAGGCCGGGAGCAGAGAGCTCCCTCGGGGTCTCCCACGCGCAGCAGGGACCTGACTACCTCCCCCCACCCCGCTGCCTCCCAGGGTGCACTGCAGGGGAAGCTGAGCCGGTGTGGACACGGGTGCTCTGATACGGGCGGAGGCACCTGCTCCGGCAGGACCAGCAGCGAGCTGAGAACCGTGACTTCCAAGCCTAAACTTGAATTTGGGATGACTGCAACTCCAGGGGCACCTCCCAGAGAACCCTTTTCCCGGCTCCCACAGGACAGGCGGTTTGCGTTTGTGCCGTGTATCTCCTGGGGCTGGGCCACGTCAGTGCCGGCACATCCGCGCCGCCCTTGTGGCCGGCAACGGCAAAGCACCTGCGGCAGCGCACGGCTCAGTGGCTCTTTAAATGGCACCAAGATCATTATCGTCTCTCCGCTGTCGGCTTCAGCAGACACAGGCGCTCCACACCCGACCCCGTCAACAAAGACCTTTTTAAGAAACAGTTATTTCTGCTTCAAGACAGTGCCTCCCCCTGGAGCCCGAGGTGCCGAAGGTACCGCATGCCGCCCGGCGGCCGCCGCGTCCAAACCCCACCCCACACCCGGCCAAGTGCCCTGCACGTACCCTATTACCTGGCTTTCACAGCCATTCAGGGAGAGCCTGGGACCCAGAGGGAGGGGACAACCCAGGAGGGTGAGGAGTGGGCCTGCCCTCACAGCAGGTGTGTACCGGGCTGGGACCCCCACCCCAGCCAGCCGAGCCCCAGGAGCCCACCCGGCCACAGAGCAGCGTGGCTGACACGGCGACAGGAAGTGCACCTGCACAGCCGGCCACGGCGAGCTCTGCCGAGCACGCTGGAAGTCAGTGCAGCCTGCCTGTGCCTTGCGAAGTGGAAGGAACCCCTTCCAACGTTCCCTGAGGGATCTTTGTGAGCCACGGGCCTCTGCCACCCATCGATCTCCCCTGTGGGACCCCCACCCCTGCAGCCAGGGATGCTAATCACGAACTGAGGGCTGCACAGTGCAGAGGGCGGAGGGAGGATGAACGAAGAACCAGTAAGTGGAAGGCACTTTCCAGACTACAGAAAGAGGGCACACGACAGTCCCATCCCCTCTCCCCCTCTTCCAACCAAGGCAGGGGTCTCAGTGCAGACCCCACAGGGGTGCCCGGGCGTCGTCCCAGCCCCCGAGCCCCCAGGCCACGGGGTAGGGGTGACCCCGTCGCGGGCGGCCAGCACCCACCTGAAGCGCCAGCGTCGTTCAGCAGCGAGGCTCGGACGTTCCTCACCAGCAGCTTCAGCTCATGCGCCCTCGGCGGCTTGGGGGGGCAGGGGTCCTGGGCAGCGGCCGGAGCGCGCTGGAGGGTCTGCGGAGAGACACACAGGAGCGGCGGCCCCGGTGGCTGCTGGGCAGCGACCCCTCGCCTTGATCTGTGGCCACATCCCGCGCAGGGCTCCCCGTGTGGCTGCGCTGGGATGCAGGGCACAGTCCCAGGGGTCCACACCATCCAACCCTGCAGGCCCTAGGACAGGGAGGATGTCCTCTCCGAGCTGCAGGTGCCTCTGCCCCCACCCCTGCCCCTTGTGGGCCACTGGCCCGTGGCCACCTCCCTCCTGCAGGCCGGAGCTGACACGCACAGAAGGAGAACACAGGCAGAAGCCGACAGTGGCAGGAGCAGCCGGCCCAGCGACGCTCCCACCCCGTGCCAGAGGGGTGCCAGGACATCTCCCCCGGGCATGGGAAGGACCCACCCCGGACCCCCTGTTTTCAAACCAGGGCTGTCCAGGCAGAGACCTGGGTGCTGACTTGACCCAGAATCCTTTAGGGGGCTGCCTGGGCCCAGAGTTCTCCAGGGGCCCATTTGGAAAGCGGGGGGGGGGGGGTCTGAATGCTGGGAGCTGGAGGCACCAGGAAGTGAAGCCCCGGGCGGTCCCGGTGGCCCAGCACAGGGCCTGGGGCCGCCCCGGGTCTGGGCTGGAGCTGGGACGCGTTTTCAGTGTAACTGGACTCTGGGGGCCCCGGTACCACGTCCGGCACTGCTCTGGGTGGGGCTGGGAGTGCGTCTGGACGACGTCCACGTGTAAGTCAGCGGCTGAAGGGCTGACGGAGCTGTCGCAGAGCCCTCTGGGGCACAGGGCGTCTCCCACCCAAGCCTCACGCTCGAACCCAGCTCTGGCTCAGGTGGCTCTGCAGCCTGCCGGCCTCGGACTGACCAGTATAATGGGCAGCCAGGCTATTTGCATAAACTCCACAATTAACAGTACGATTAACCCTGGCGCCAGCACTGTGGCATGATGCCTGCATCCCATATGGATGCCGGTTCAAATCCCTACTGCTCCTCTTCCGATCCAGCTCTCTGCTGTGGCCTGGGACAGCAGCAGCAGATGGTCCAAGTCCTTGGGCCCCTGCACCCGCGTGGGAGACCCGGAAAAAGCTGCTGGCTCCTGGCTTCGGATCAGCGCAGCTTCGACCACTGCGGCCATTGGGGAGTGAACCAGCAGATGGAAGACCCCTCTCTGCCTCTGTCTCTGTCACTCTGCCTCTCAAATAAGTAAAATTTTAAAAAAATGAGGAAGAAAGAAAATGCTTTCACGTCCCTGTAACTTGTTCCCAGACTGCTGGTTACCCAAAGCGGCTTCATTCCTCCTGTTGGTGAAGTTTCTACTGTTCCACCTGCTACTGATGTCTAATTTCGCAATAAATATTTTTACACAAACCCCAGAGCTAGCAAAGATGTAAAACGATCAGTTAAGCCAAGGGATGCTGAGGGCAGGCAGCCCAGGGCAGACGCTCCGCCCAAGAGTTTAGGCAGGGAGTCAGGTGACAGCCTTGTCAGACAGGCGGAGGTGGGCCAGCCGAGTGACGGCAGACAGGCGGAGGTGGGCCAGCCGAGTGACGGCAGACAGGCGGAGGTGGGCCACCGAGTGACACTAGACAGGCGGAGGTGGCCAGCCGAGTGACGCCAGACGGTCGGAGGTGGCCAGCCGAGTGACCTAGACAGGCGGAGGTGGGCCAGCCGAGTGACGGCAGACAGGCGGAGGTGGGCCAGCTGAGTGACGGCAGACAGGCGGAGGTGGGCCAGCCGAGTGACACTAGACAGGCGGAGTGGGCCAGCCGAGTGACGCCAGACGGGCGGAGGTGGCCAGCCGAGTGCCACTAACAGGCGGAGGTGGGCCAGCCGAGTGACGCAGACAGGCGGAGGTGGGCCAGCCGAGTGACGGCAGACAGGCGGAGGTGGGCCAGCCGAGTGACAGGCAGACGGCGGAGGTGGGCCAGCCGAGTGAAGGCGGCAGACAGGCGGAGGGTGGGCCAGCCGAGTGACGGCAGACGGGCGGAGGTGGGCCAGCCGAGTGACGCCAGCTGCCCCCGCCCTGCCTCGGCCACAGGGTGGATGCGACAGCAGGCAGGGCCAGGTCCCAGGCTCGTCCACCAGTGTTGCTCTGCGAGCTGCCGGGGCAACGTTATCCCTGGCGGGAGGGGGTCCCAGGCACTGGCTCTCAATGCACGGTGAAAAGTCAACTTTGGGCTCAGGCCAGGCAGAGCCCCAGGGCCTGCTCAGGGTGAGGCGGGGCTTGGCGAGCCGCCCAGTAGCCGCTCACGCCCGTCCCGCGGTGCTGTGGGACGCTGCTTGGACCCCGGGGCTTCAGCCCAAGACCAGGGGCGTTGCTGACCAGCCAGCGTTCACGCAGCCTCTGCTGGAGGTCAAGGGCCACTGGACACACACGAGGGCGCCCCGGGAGCTGCAGGCTGGGTCCCCTAACGGCTCGGATGCAGCCGCACCTGGCGGAGGGTTTACCTGGGCTTCCTTGGCGTCCGTAGGCTTGGCGCTCAGAGCCAGGGACGGAGAGGCAGAGCTGACCAGATGCTTCAGGATGTCCCTGAGCGGCTCCAGGACCGTGTTTGTCTCGAGCACCGGGCCCTGGTGAAACAGGACAAGTTGTCGGCTCCCCCGGGACCGAGAGCTCACGCCGTGGAGGGCAGGGCTACGGCTCTCTCACGCCTCCCAGACGAGGTAGTCCTGGGGTCAGGGCCACGCTGCTTTGTACCCTTGGGACTCCAGGAGATCTTCTGGGGAAGGGGGTGTCGATTTGCTGACTTCAGCAGTAATTCATAGCCAGCACAAAACATGTAACAGTGGGGGTGGCGCTGTGGCGTAGCTGGTAAAGCCGCCACCTGCAGTGCCAGCATCCCACATGGGCGCCAGTTCTAGTCCCGGCTGCTCCACTTCCAATCCAGCTCTCTGCTGTGGCCTGGGAAAGCGGTGGAAGATGGCCCAAGTGCTTGGGCCCCTGCACCCGCGTGGGAGACCTGGAAGAAGCCACGTGGCCCAAGCCAGTCTGGGAGGGAAAGCTGGGGGTGTGTGGAGCCTGCCAGTGCCGGGAGCGAGCTCCCGCGGAGCCTGTCCTCACGCGTGTGTCTCACGCACACCACAGGAAGAACCACGAGAGCCCGGGACCGACCTCCCCCGCGGCTCTGGGCTGCACGTCCACGGACGTCTCGGGCACATTGATGAGGGACCACGTGACCCGGATGTCCTCTCTCTTTTCTTCCAGGTGGAACTCCAGCTGTGGAAAAGAATAAGAGGGTTAGTGGAGATCAGCCCTCTCCCCAGCCTTGCTGATCACGCGTGTGCGTGTGGAAGTGCACACGTGTGCGTGGTATGCGTGCACTTACACAGGCAACCTCAGCCTCCCCCGGGCCTGTCACAGCAGCCGGCGTCCTGCCAGCTGCACCTGCCCGCCCCCACCGCAGCGCTGGCAGCCGAGAGCCGATGCCGCCACACCCTGCGGTCTCTCTTCAAACGCGGAGCGAACGGCACTTTGCATTTTTGCTTCTCAGATGACCGCCAAGGCATAGAGCAGAGAGGGCCCGGGGCGCCTCATCCCCAGCCCTGGACACAGACCCCGCCCCCCAGCCCAGGCCCACACCCCTCAAAGATGGCGCATGGAATCCAGCGGCACCCTACCATCTCCTGCCTGGGCCACTTCCACAGCCCCAGAACCAGACCCCTGTGTCTCACGGCGCCACGTCCAGTCCCGCCCATCTCGGGGCGGCAGAGCTGTGGTCCCCACGACCTGCATGCCCTCCTCCCAGGAGCCTGTGCATACGGGACCTTACCAGCCTGGGGGTCCTGCGGCGGTGGTCAGGGCGAGGACTGGGTGGGGCCCTGGGTTCTGCAGGTGGCCACAGGGCAATCGCCAGAGCCAGCCAGGGAGGTGAGACTGGGGAGTCCAGGCTGGGGCAGAGGGTGGGGGAGCGGGGCTGCCACGACCACTCATGCCAGCTCAGGCCCCACAGCCCCGAGGAGCTGACTCCCACCCACCGTCTCAGCTGTGGGATCGGCTGTCCCAGCTTCCACGGTACCCGTCTGGGCCATGGGATCAGCTATCTCAGCTCCACGGCAGCTGTCTCAGCTGTGGGATCGGCTGTCCCAGCTCCACGGTACCCGTCTGGGCCGTGGGATCAGCTGTCTCGGGTCCACAGTTGCTGGTGACCCCGGCGAGGTAGCCTGACGCTGCATAGCAGGGCCTCGGTGCCTGCCTGCCCTGGTCCCACGTCACCACGGCAGCACGGGTGTAAGGAGGGAGGCCAGGGCAGGTCACTCACTACGCTACATTGTTATCGTCCTGTTATTCACTGTTAGTCTTTGGCAGTGTCTGATTGATACATTCACCTGTACCCTAGGGGCGTGTGTCTAGGCTGACCTCGGAGGTCGGGTGTGATGCTGCCCGTGGCCCGGCGTCCCCCGTGGGTCAGGGAAGTGTTCCCCGTGGAGGCAGGGACGGCTGTGTCCCTGTGACCTCCTGATCGAGGACTGCCCACAGTAAGCGTGAGAGATTGCAGTGTGTGCTTCTGTGTGACACGTGTGACGTCTGCGGGGAGGGTGCTGTCCGTCTCTGTAGCAGCAGACGGGCCTGGTCCATCCTCAGGCGGCTCCTCCTGGATACTCCCTGGGCTCCCGAGCGGCTGGCGCTCCCGGGCCTGCCTTGGGCTGCTGTGAATCCAGCCTGTGTCCCTCGCTCTGTCCCTGTACCTGGTTAGCAATTTGGGGACTGACCCAGAGCCCTGCTGCGTCCTCGGCAGGGAGGAGTCCCGTAGGCTGTTGTGATCAGGCACATGTTTTTAAAGATTGATTGATTTGAAAGGCAGAGTTACAGAGAGAGAGAGAAAGGTCTTCCATCCGTTCGTTCACTCCCCAAATGTCCACAGCTGCTGGAGCTGGGCCGATCTGGAGTCAGGAGCCAGGAGCTTCCTCCTGGTCTCCCTCGTGGGTGCAGGGCCCGAGCACGTGGGCCGTGCTCTGCTGCTTTCCCAGGTGCATCAGCTGGGAGCTGGATCAGAAGGGGAGCAGCCGGGACTTGCAGTGGCGCCCATATAGGGTGCAGGTGCGTAGGTGCTGCAGGCGGCGGCTTCACCCGCTGCGCCACAGCGCCGGCCCGCCTTTGGTCTCGACACAGAAGAGGCCGCTGCTGCTGGCGGAGCCTCGCGGTGGCCTCTGGTCCCAGGCAGGGGCCGCCCTGCTTCTCCAGCGCTCTTTGCCTGGAAGCTGCCCAGAGGTGGCCGCAGTGGGAACCCCCGTGCGTCCCTGCCGCCGCCTGCCTGGTGCAGTGGGGCACAAGCTAGTTCCCTGGGACAGCGGGGCGAAAGCGCTTTATTCCTAGAATTTCCTGGAAGGCAGCCCTGTTCTCAGCCTGCTTCTAGCAGGCAGTGAGCGTCTGGGGAACTGAGTCTGAAGTCTCGCCCTCCCCGTCGCGTGGGGCGGGGGTGGGGCAGGAGCAGGCGGAGTTGAGATTTCTGCTTTAGAAAGAGGCCCCTGAGGGGCTGGTGCTGTGGCACAGTGGGTAAAGCCACCGCCTTCTGCAGTGCCGGCGTCCCACGTGGGCACCTGTTTGAGTCCCGGCTGCTCCTCTTCCCATCCAGCTCTCTGCTGTGGCCTGGGAAAGCAGTGGAAGATGGCCCGAGTCTCTGGGCCCCTGCACTGGTGTGGGAGACCTGGAGGAAGCTCCTGGCTCCTGGCTTCAGATCAGCTCAGCTCAGGCCATTGTGGTCACCTGGGGAGTGAACCAGCAGATGGAAGACTCACTCTCTCACTCTCCCTCCCCCCCACCCGGCCCCTGCCTCTCTGTAACTCTGCCTTTCAAATATATAAATAAATCTTAAAAAAAAACAAAAACAAAAACACAGAGCCTGAGCCAGCAGGGAAGGGGGTGTATTCATTTGCTGCTGTGACAGATGATGGTCAGCGCAGGTTCCGGCAGCCCAGTCTGGAGGCCGGTGTGCGATGCCTCCACGGGGAACACTTCCCTGACCCACGGGGGACGCCGGGCCACGGGCAGCATCACACCCGACCTCCGAGGTCAGCCTAGACACACGCCCCTAGGGTACAGGTGAATGTATCAATCAGACACTGCCAAAGACTAACAGTGAATAACAGGACGATAACAATGTAGCGTAGTGAGTGACCTGCCCTGGCCTCCCTCCTTACACCCGTGCTGCCGTGGTGACGTGGGACCAGGGCAGGCAGGCGCCGAGGCCCTGCTATGCAGCGTCAGGCTACCTCGCCGGGGTCACCAGCAACTGTGGACCCGAGACAGCTGATCCCACGGCCCAGACGGGTACCGTGGAGCTGGGATAGCCGATCCCACGGCCGAGACAGCTGCCGTGGAGCTGAGATAGCTGATCCCATGGCCCAGACGGGTACCGTGGAGCTGGGACAGCTGATCCCACGGCCGAGATGGCTACCGTGGAGCTGGGACAGCCGATCCCACAGCTGAGACGGCTGCTGAGTGACTAACGGGCAGGAACGGACACAGTGTGGACACTGGACGGAGGGAGAGCAGTTTCGTCACATACTCAGAAGGGCAAGCAGTCTCAAACTCAGCCACTGTTTAGGAATTTTCCGTGCACCATTTTAGACGGCAGTTCACCTGGGATAACAAACCCCAGAAAGGGAGCCACAGGTGCGGGAACCGACTGTGCTGCTGGTCGACGTATGAGAACAAGAGGTTCTGCCAAGGTCGACGTTTTAAAAAACCAGACAGAGGCGTGCGCGGTGCGGGATCGGCACGGCGTGCGGAGCAGCGGCCGAGGGCTGGGCCTGGCGCTGGGCTGCAGCCGCCTCCCGTCAGACGCCTCTCGGCTCACTCTGCCGACGGAGCCCCCGACTGCTGAGGGCCGCGAAGGCACCGAGTTCTTACGTGAATGTCCGTAGTCTGTGTGTGTGGCTGTGTATGTATGACTAGGTATGTCTGTGTGTATATGTGTCTGTGTATATGTGTGTATACGTGTCTGTGTATATGTGTGTCTCTGTGTACGTGCACATATGTGTATGTGTTTGTGTGCGTATGCATGTATATTTGTATGTGTTCTCCATGTACATGTGTATGTCTCAGTGTGTGTATGTGTGCATGTGTGTATGTGTCTCCATATATGCATATGTATGTTTATGTGTGTATGACTGTGTGAGTCTGTGTGTCTATGTGTGTGTATCTGCATGTGTGTCTGGTGTGTGTATCTACATGTGTGTCTGAGAATATGTGTGTGTATGTGTGTATGTCTGTGTGTCTGTGCAAGTCTGTATCTGGGTCTATGTGCGTGTGTCTGTGTGCACATGTGTCCATGTGTGTCTGTGTCTGTGTAAGTCTACATCCGTGTCTGTGCCTGTGCATGTACAGGGAGGGCGTTGTCCCACTCTGATTTCCGGCACAGGGCACACAAGCACGCGTGAGCGAGCCCCCCACCGCAGGTGCCCGAGAGCCGTTCCCCCCACCTGCAGATGAGCCGGGGAGAGCCGCACGTCGTAGAGCCGGCATCCTGCGCTCTGGGCGGGGGCGGGCCCTGCGCTCACCAAGAACTGCACGCTGTCGGCCACCGCGTGACAGGTCACCACCTGCAGGAGACAGGGGCGAGGTTACTGAGCAGTCACAGAAGAACGCAGCCGTGCCAAAGACGGACGGCACGGCTCATCAAGGCTCTGCAAGTCGGGGACAGCGTGACGTCATGACGCAGGCATGGCTCTGACATCAGTCGGAAGGCATTTAGGAGGGGTGATCTTTACAGCTAACGCGGCCCAGAGGACATCTGCCTCCTGCCAGGGCTCCCTCACTGGAGTGGACCTCCTACAGCAAGCGGCTAGCCGACCCCGGCAGCGGGCCGAGCCAGCACAGTGGCACAAGGGTGAGGCCAGGTGCCAGGTGTGCACCGGCGGGCAGAGGGAGAGGCGCTGGTGCCGTCGGGAGGCTGAGGGTATGAGGCGGCCCGCCCCTCTCCCTAGGGAGCGGCTGACCCCACTGCGCGAGTGCCTGGAAGAGGAGGAGAACATTCTTCAATCCCCCAGTGGATTTATCGGAATCTAAAACACTAAGTGGAAAAGATTATCAAAATAATTACGTTGCCCGAGTCTGCGATTCCAGCAAGTTCAAGGCTGGGACATTCTCCCTTCGCCTTTCTCGTCTCCCGGTGCCCCTCACCGTCACCGTCACCAGCCCCGCCAGCTCCGCCCTCGGCAGCTCTCCCCAGGGCAGCACCGGCTCCCCGGCCCCCATGCCAGGTCCCCATGCCGAGCCCCCGGCAGAGGGCACTTTCCCACGTCCACGGTGGAACCCTCGACGACCCAGATCTAGAACTAGAAAAGCTGCCTCTGTCTACATCAGCCGCAAGGTGCACGTCCGCCGCCGTCACCCCGGCCCCGAGCGACGGCTCCGCAGGGGTCGGCTACAGATCTGCATCACCTCCTGAGGTCACAGGCCACCGCCTGGGTAAGCCACGTCAGCCGTCATGGAGGACACTGTTCCCACGCCACGCCACGGGGAAGCCACCGCCCGTGGCAGCAGCCGCACGAAGCCAACCAGGCGCTCGCTGGAGCCCCGCGCCTGTTTTTCTGCAACCTTCCAAATTAACCGACCGGAGTCTCACTGAGAAAACGCACTTACCTGGTGCCTTGAATGGGGAGAGGGAGTTGGGTTTCCCTTTCCACTCAGCCCCACAGAAAGCCCTGCCCCTCGCCCCCACCCCGTTTGTCCGCAGAGACCGGAGCACGTGACTGACAGCCAGTAAACAAGCAAATACAAGGAAGGCCTTGAAAGAGTCATGGCCAGGACCACGCCCTGGGGCACCGGCCCAGCCCTAAGAAGCACCTGCCCCAGGGACCGCCCTTTCTTTGCCCCCCACAGGTGCATAGCTGGAAAAGCTCATCAGAGACCCCACCGGCACCTGCCTCGGCACGGACGCAGCCAGACAGGGCCTTTCCTGAGCTCGTCTGCGTGCAGGGTCGGGCACAGGGCCAGCCTGGGCCTCCAGCGCCCTGCGGACACCAAGGGCCCCATTTGGCAAATGGAACCAAATGGAAAGGAGGCTTTAAAGACAAGTAATCTGCTTTTAGCGTATTAAGGCGTTATCCACAATGGGGCTTAAACTCTCCCAACCCACGCTGCAGGTCCGCTCGTGCGCGTGAACAGCCAAGGGTCAGCATCTCCAACACGACACTCGGCAGACCCAGCGGCTCCATGTGGGCGCCCCCCAGGGTCTCCACGGCCAGGACCTGCTGGCCTGGGGCCCCGAAGCCTCCCGTGGTGTCAGCCCTGGATCTTCCAAACTTAAACACGAGCGAGGTCGCGAACCTGTGGCTACGACACGGGACTCTCTGAGGTCCCAGGAGTGCCCCAAAGCAGGGCTCCGTGGAGCCAACATCTGCCTCCTTGGGAGAAGCTCCCTTGAAAGCAACCAGCCCTCGGTCTGCTTAATGCTTGAGATTCTTTTTCTTTTGGAAGGAACTTTCGAATTCCATAAACCATCTCAAAGTCAAGGAATGGAAGGCTGAACTTGGAATTCCAGATGAACACCGCTCTTCTCCAGGCAAGTGTTTTACGGCAGGTGTGCCACACGTGGTGAGGTCTCGCAGCTGGGCTGGCCGGGGTCAGAGGGGACCCCTGGGCCCCCCCTTGGATCGAGATGGGGGGGTGTCTGATGGAGGCCCCATGAGAACCGGCAAGTGGGAGCTGAAGGTGACCAGTGCTGCCTTTATGACAACCTGCGACCCAGCAGACAGCTCCGACCTTGAAGCCCCGTTCCTCTGGGCTCGTGGGCCAACCCAAAGTCCCTGGGATCGTCTGGAGCCCGGCACCCCAGGCCGAGAAGCCCCAAGGTTGTGGGCCAACCACAGAGCCCCTGGGATAGTCTGGAGCCCCAAGGACATGGGCCAACCCAAAGCCCCTGGGAGCGTCTGGAGCCCGGCACCCCAGGCCAAGGAGCCCCAAGGTCGTGGCCCAACCACAAAGCCCCTGGGATCGTCAGGAGCCCCAAGGTCGTGGGCCAACCACAAAGCCCCTGGGATTGTCTGGAGCCCCAAGGTCATGGGCCAACCCAAAGTCCCTGGGATCGTCTGGAGCCCGGCACCCCAGGCCGAGAAGCCCCAAGGTCATGGGCCAACCCAAAGCCCCTGGGAGCGTCTGGAGCCCCAAGGTCGTGGGCCAACCACAGAGCCCCTGGGAGCGTCAGGAGCCCCAAGGTCGTGGGCCAACCACAAAGCCCCTGGGATCGTCAGGAGCCCCAAGGTCATGGGCCAACCACAGAGCCCCTGGGATCGTCAGCTCCCGCCTGCGTTCCCTCCAGCTGCGCACACAGCAGCCTCGGCTCCTCTAGACTCCTCCAGAGAACCGGAATCACCTAATTCCTGTGTCTCCGCAGGAACTGGACCACAGCTGAGACAGTGCAAGGCAGAGTGGCTGGGGCTGGCCACTTCTCACACCGGGAGACGACGGCCCAGGAAGAGCCCCTGCACGGGTCGCTCACGCTCCCTGCTCCCCCGCCCCCCGCGGCTGCTCTTGGTGCAAATGCATCGAAACTGTTCTTTCTACCCTGCAACAAATTTCTCAGTTTCAAAGCAAAACCATCAGCGCTAACTGTCCTCAGAGCAACTCCAAGGTCAACCCCACCTGCAGGACGCATCTTGGAAAGGCACTGGCCCAGCGGCCTGGGATGGAAACTGCTGGAAACAGAAGGTGCTCAAGGAGCCAGCACTGTGTGTAGCAGGTAAAGCCGCCACCTGCAACACCAGCACCTGCAGCGTTGGCATCCCGTATGGCTGCCAGTTCGAGTCCCGGCTGCTGCACTTCTGATCCAGCTCCCTGCCACTATGCCTGGAAAAGCAGCAGAGAATGGCGTAAGTGCTGGGGCCGGCGCTGTGGGGCAGCGGGTTAACGCCCTGGCCTACAGTGCCAACATTCCATGTGCGTGGCGGTTCTAGTCCCGGCTGCTCCACTTCCGATCCAGCTCTCTGCTGTGGCCTGGGAAAGCAGTAGGAGATGGCCCAAGTCCTTGGGCCCCTGCACCCGTGTGGGAGACCCGGAAGAAGCTCCTGGCTCCTGGCTCTGGGCGTTGCAGCCATCTGGGAGTGAACCAGTGGATGGAAGACCTCTCTCTCTGTCTCTCCCTCTCTGTAACTCCGTCTTTCAAATTAAAAAAAAAAAAAAGAGTAAGAGAGACAGAAGGATAAAGAGAGGGAGAGGGAGAGACAGAGAGAGAGAGAGAGAGAGAGAGAGAGAGAGAGAGAGAGAGTGACAACTGGCTGCAACAGTCGGGGCTGGGCCAAGCTGAAGCCGGGAGCCAGGACTTCCAACTGCGCCTCCCACGTGGGTGCGGGGCCCGAGCACTTGGGCCGCCTGCTGCTGCTTCCCGGGAGCATTAGCAGGGAGCTGGGTGCACAGCGCCGCAGGACGCACACCTGCCTGACACGGGATTTGGCTGCGGAAGGTGGCACTCACCCCTGCACCCCTGTCCTGCCACGCTCGCCCACTGGCCCTTCTCTGGAACAGCACACCGCCAGGAGCCGCGTGTGCACAGAGCTGGCTCCACGTGGCCTCCCACCCCACCCGAGCACGTGCTGTTCTCTCACCCGCCCCAGACTGAAGCTGTCACCCGGGTCTGTCCCAGGCTGGTGGGCAGTTTCCGGTGTGGAGCCAGACCCGTGCATCAAACCACTACAAACGCCCATGCCCGGCACCCCAACAACCAAAACCGGGAGCACCCCAGGGCCCTCTCACCCCGTCTCCTCCAGGCCAGAGTCCACACAAACGGGTGGCCTCGTGGGAGGCACTTTGCCCACGCAGCCCCCACACTGGGTCTCCAAGGGCGGGGCCCCACTGGGAACCCCCAGCACCTGCCCTTGGAAAGGCACCAGTTCCAAACAACGTGCCGACCTGTTCTCGTAGCATAAACACCAGGTGAATGAGGTACCTGGAATTTCAAGTCATGCAAAGCAAAGAGGAAAAAAGAAAAAGCCAGCGGCACTTCTCCTGTGCGGGGGGAACCCGAACCTGAGCAGCTGACCCGCGCGCGGCGGGGGGGAGGGGGGGCGCAGGGGAGCCGGAGCAGGCGGTGCACTCAGGCAGCTCAGACGACAGACGGTGCACCTGCCGCTCCCTCCCTGCCCGCACCGGCTGCCCCCTGCACACGGGATTCTGGGGGAGAGCTCCGCCCAACCGTCCAAGCGCTGAACTCTGCACACGCAGAGGCTGGGGTCAAGGCCGCTTGGCTCTCTTCCCTCTCTTCGCTGTCTCTGTCACAGAGGGGACGCGGGCGGAGGCAGGCACACAAAAGTGCGCAAACTGCGGCTGCAGCGTTGTTTAACCGTGGGCAGCAGGCGAGGCTCAGCTGCAGCCCCCGCGCCGATCCTCTGTATCTCTACAGTGAAACCCCCCCTGTGCGCCTCAGCTTCCTCCCACCCACAGTGGGTGAGACACAGCAGGGGGGTGTTGTGAGCGATGACAAGGTCTACACACCTGCACCATCAGGAGCCTGGTGTGGCAGGTGCCCGGCGGGGCGCCACCCCTGTCCGCAGCCCCCCTTATCCCCACAGACCCCCCCAGCCATGGACCCGCCACTCAGGGACAGCAGGAAGTGCCCAAGCCAGCCT